ATTGCTGATTATGCGCCCGGCTTTTACGTGCCTTCTAATTGGGCCGCCTCGGCTCTTGGGAAAGATCGACCGATCGCACGATCGGCCCTCGTTAACCCCTAACGCTCTCCGTGCACGCCAGGGTTCCGTTCCTACCAACCCCCCCTCTGGCCCTCCTGCCCCCCTTCCACGTTGACGATAGCTCGCGACGTCGTAGGCTGCACCCACCCGTAGCGTGTGTGTCTGTATTCTCTCTTGGGTTTCGTATCCACCAAGGGGACTCATATATGGGCATGCAGGAAGTCTTACCACGCGCTGGACCAGTTTCGATGTGTCGTCCCTTTTGACTATCGAAATCTGGATCGCAGGGACCAAGTGAGCGTTTTCGTCGCCGATCCCTCCGGCCCGAGTAGTCGTCGATCGCTCTTTATGGGGAGACGCGATCCTCCACGGAAACCGCGGCGAGCTTTCACCCGGGGGATTTTATCCTCGTGGACGGGGCCCCGTTGGTCGAGATGGGAACCATGTTCGGGTGCAGAGTAGTATCTCGAACGGCATAAACGAGCGCGATTTGCTCTTGCCGGTCGGACCGAGTCAGTGCCATTAGGATAATTTTATTGGGCAATTATGGGGGCCGGTACGGTAGTGCCGCGTCTCATTGGAAACGTTTCCCTGTGCTCGTGTTTTCTGTCCATCGGGTTGCTTTTCGATTTGATATGTTCGAGCCTGGCGAATTATATTGCGATAGAACTGACGATACTGTTGTTCGAGACTCTTGCGGATTAATTTGAAATCCTTGTAATTTGCTGAATAATCGTAGGAAAGACTGTGATGTAATTGCTAATGATGAAATACGGTAACGCTGGAGACAACATCGAGTCTAATCTAATGGAGAAACAGGAATGTTATTTACCGGTTCACTTTAATAATTTATTAGAATAGTCATGTATTAAAGTGGTAACCGACTTTATCATCAATATTATCATCTTACCGCGGTGGTAACACGTCTCCGGGGAACGGGATTACGTAAAAATTGCATGGGTACCACGTCTATCCTTCGAATCATAGGCGGCTCGAGCGGTTACCCGTGCTTTATGAATTAATAATCACGGCGAAGACGCAGGCTCCATTACTCACCGCTATCGCGGCCCAGCCGTTACGCGTGGTACGCGTATACCTGCCGTGTGTAATCAATTAAAGCTCATTACGGTTGTCCTTTTGCTCCCCGCGGTCGTTAATTCGCTTTAACCGGGAAACGAGGAATGGCAGAAAGAAGGAATGCAAGAAAAAAAGGAAAATGAAGAAAAAAATAGACGGGGCCAGAGGAGATGTACAGGAGGCCTGTGTTCTACAACGAGCACCGGCCTGGCTTCTTATTCGAGCCGCGTAGAACCGTAAGTAAGTAGTCGATCAATGGCTCTCCGTGTCCGCGTTCGGGACGCGAGAGTCAGCCCCGATGGACTTCTAGGTCCCTGGAGAGCTGTTGACATCCAGCGACGGTGCACTATGTTCGCTGTTTCTCGTATTTTATGCGAGCGTTTCTCCTTTCGCGGCCGATCTTCCCTCGAATAGAGAAAAGGGATCTCGTGCTGGCCGCGATCTCGATGCCCCGGTACCTCTTGTGGATCTTAAAGGACTTCCGGCACTCCATTCCGTGACGTTTTTTTTATTTTTTTGGAATGCTGTGTGCCGTGGTGCTTTTTGTTTTGTGCAAATGGACCTATCAACGTCGACGTGCCTAGTCCCTTAATCAGATCAACTTGTTACCCCCTGCTACTTGAAGTCTTCAATGGCTTTGTAATGGCTTCTGGATGCGAATAGTAGAGTTTTATCAACGTTGTTCTGTGATTTTATAACGTAGAGGAGGTGATCCAAATACAGGCTAGAGTCTAAATATGGCCGAGTCAAGGAAAAAATAAGGTTATTTTAATTCCATATCTTGAAGCACACATGTTTTAGATACATGAAAGTGTTACATTTTAAAAATCTTCAACAGGTCTGGCAATAAGTCTTGAAAAAAGTAAAAGTGCTAACCCATATTTATACAATCTTCTCTACGGTTTACATATTCTGTTCTACGTTTAGTGAACCCGTTTTTTAAACCTTGATGCACTATTCAGATGAACTTAACCCAAACCCAATGTTAGATTCTTAATAATATTCTTTATTCCAGAAATTTCTGGATTAATTTAGCACCAATAGCATATAGCAATAGATAAGTATGCTGCACAATAATTTCGAAAGAATAGTAATGCAATAGTTCATTGATCACTGCACGAGAGTTCAGTGTACCTTCAACGTGACCACCCAAGGTATTCAGATAGTTCTAGAATGAATAGACCGAATATTTACACACCCTAATATTAATCATCGCCACTCTATGAATAAATAACTAAAATTACAGTTCGAATTCTCCCAATCATTCGATCCAAATCTCCAAATTCGATCGACAATAGGAAACGAAATGCCAAAGTTCCAACAGCGAGCTATTGCCCCGCCGTAAAGGAGGTCTGCTTGATCGAGATCGCTCCAGTTTCTCCCGCGGAGCGAATCAAGCAGCCAACGAGTAGATCTCTCGAACCCTAACCGGTAACCCTGGTCCCCGTCGATATTTCACTCGGCGTGAGGCCGAGGGGGGAACACAAGCGGAGACCCGGTGCACTGGGGCAAAATCGTCCCGCGTGCGCCGCGAGGTTGCCCAACTCATGCATAGAGTCATGACGAGCCTAAGCGATTGCTTATTGCTCGGGTGGTGCAACCAGTCCGCCGTGGACTGACGCATTGGTCCGAGTCTCGCCCGTTTGTTATCCTGGATAGCCGCGGTCTTACACACGGTGCCCGGAATACGTGTCTCCGAGAGTTCTCCGGTCTGCTTCGCGAATGCGATCCGCGTTCGGTCCATGTACGTGCGTGTACCGATCGCTTAAGGTTACCTTTACACCGCTGTAAAGGCCTTGTGTAAGGAGCCGTGGATCGGGAGGGGTTGATTCTAAATGAATCAACGAGCACGACGATGGATGTACTGCACGGGAGGGAAGTATGGTTGATGAGAGTGGTGTTAACGATCTCCGATGGATAACTGTCAACAGATGTTTGTAAGTAAAATGCATGGCAGTTCTAGGTGAATTGTGTATTCATTTGATTTAGTTGATTGATTAAACGGAGATGATATTAGTTGTTGAATGAAAGAAGGGGAATAGGATATGAAACCTTGAAGTTTTCATCCGAAATTTTTTTGTTGTAAACAAATTATATTTCGGACAATTTGTTAGCACTATATTATTCCATATAAAAAACCGCAAACCTCGTCTATTAGAAGTTTTTATGTATTTCCTCTGATTTTCGAGATAGTATCTTCGAGGGGTGATTTCACCCCTTAAAGCAGCGTCTCAACCGATAAAAAAAAATACGTATCCCTTATTTTTGACTGCTTAACAGACATACGAAGTTTCATCAATATCGGAGGGGGACAGTTCCGTGCCTTTCCTTGTAAGTCTACCGATCAGAATACCGATCGGACCTTTATTCCTGTTCTAATATCTGAAACCTATCAAACTGTCCTACAGTTTTCCATCTCATCGAAGCAAACAACCCATGTAAACGTGCCCTAAGAGGATCACGGTCCACCGCTCGACAAATCGACCGACCTCGGACGTAGATTTTTCCGTTCTGTACCAGTTTTTCTTTTTTCGTACGATACCTACCGCGTATACGTGGGCCCCCTTATGCGACTCGCGTCGCGTATACATTACGCGCGAAATGAATGATTCGATATATGGGCCGTGATACGGTGAATTATGGGCCGCAATAAAACCGGGCCCGATGAGTTTAGAGCGCAATAAAACCAGATGGTCGCCGATCGTCGCTCCGTTTTACGGCACAATTCGACCTAGGATGCGCGCACGCTCTCGAGCATATCTCGCGGGGCTTACGTAAAGTTATTATCGCGCCGTGAATAAAACCACGCTCGATTAGCATCGATAATCGTCGTCCGCTCGGGAAGACCGACGCATCACGAGGGTCTCCGGGGACAGGGGACCGTCCAGAGATGCACCGTTCCGCGCTCCGATCCGGACGTGGAAGGAACGCGCGACCTGCCAAGGTCAACCGAGTGGGCAGGTATCCGTAACTCGACGATTTTGCAACGATTCCCGTGTGCTTCCTGTTGCAATTGATTAATGGTCGTCTTCTCCGTGGTACGTACGGGGTGAGGCGGATCGAATTACTACTGACATGTGTAATTAACATCCGAGGTTTCTTAGGGAAAAAATGGGTCTGCGTGGAGGTCGATCGTCCTTAGGAGGGGTGTGTGGTTTTAGTTCACCTAATCTGTACTACAAGAAACTTGTGATTTTATTGAACTTTACCACAGACGAGGACTAGACATTTTATGCAATTTATTTTTGCGGTCCACTTTTCTGAGATTCCATACCTGGAATTCTAACATCAAGAAGAGATATTTCTTTGTGTTAGTAGTGACTAGAATTTAAGTTTATGATGAGTTATAATCGGGTGTGCAACTACGACAACTGCATAGTATGTACGTAGTTGTTAGAAATAGTATCACCAGGTATCAAAGCCTTCGAGCAAGTATTGAAATCGTCAAATTTTACCTTTTCCCACCAAATAAAGTGAATCTAATTCCTCAATAGTAGTTGTCCCATCTTAAACCCTGTTTGTTTCCAATTTCCTGGCAATCTGTTCAATCGTTGAAGATTCTAGGACCAATAACGAAGGACGACTGGGAAGGGTGGCAGAAGAAGTGACACAGATTCGTGTAGATTAAACAAAAATATTTTAATTCCGCGATACGTTTAGGTACTGGCCGCTCGTGTTCACCGCTTACGTGCTATTATGTACAAAACGAAACAAAAAAGACAGAGAGAGAGAGAAATAAAATATACGGTCCGCCTGTTACGCCAGCCGAGAGGTCGTACACCAAGCGGAAGCACAGAAGCGCGATACATTCTGATTCGTAGACGAAGTCCTTCCCCCCTCCCCCCTCCCATTTATTACCCCGATTATTTACAAGATGCACGATTGTTTTATACATCGACGTGACGTCATTTCTCTCGTTCGTTTTAATTACTGGCCTCTGATCGTGACAGGGTCGCGGATGCGCGAGGAAACACCGTTCCACGAGTGTTACTCGCCTCCCTCCGCTGCCCCGTAACACGCGTATGACAATATCGCTATACAACAGCGAAGAGAATATTACGGCGCGCGCGCGAGCGATCGTGCGTTCCCCGGTTCAGACGACATCCATAAAAGCGGTCCGTTTCCGAATTATACATACATATACATAAAGGATATTTGTATAAATATATTATATTAAGGCACTCCACTACTGGCCGGTATATCCGCGACTCCTCGGGTTTTTTTTTATACAGGGCTTACATAGTCGCATGGTGTATAAACGCGTACGATACAGCTCGCGATCGAGAAAAAAAAAAAGAAACAAAGAAACAGAAAAGAACCTCTAACATGTCAGAATTAAGGAGTTAAGTGAAATCAGCGATTAGGTCGACTCCGTTTCTCGCTCGCTTTCTAGCCGCTACCGCAATAAATTAATCTCGACTCCCCCGGATCGGTTCGATGGACACCTCTATGTACAGGATTTGAACACATTTTCGTGCCGGTCTCCGATCGTTGCTCCAGAACGATCGCCCCCCCCCCCTCGATTTTCGTTCGTTCCGAAAAATACAGAACGATTCCGTTAACGATCATCCAGCCGTCTTCTAGTTCCTTCGATGTTCCTTTTCTCCTGATCTCTGGCCTCGGAGAGACCATATCTATCCTCGTGACTTTCCCCCGTTTTTTCATCGATCCCCTCGAAGCCATCAGTCGGACTCTTTCGACGAGGATTCACCCGCACCTAATGGGTGCGTCAGTACTCGGGACCAGCCCGTCTTGGGCCTGCTGGTTCACCGGAAGCTTTCACAGCGACAGAGGTAGTTCCGTGGGCCTCTTCACTCCTAGCGTCAGGTCCAACGGTTTGCTCTTCGTCGTGGCCTCCTCTTTCACCGGACTGTCGCGATCGCAGTCGTTGTCGTTCGATCTGTTGTCCTCCTCCGACGACTGGCTGGGTCTGGGGGAGCTTCTGCTCGACCTGATGCTCAGATCGATCGGTTCGTCCTGTTCGACCGCTAGGCCGCCTGGACTGGGGCTGACCAACAACAGATCGCCGCCTCTGGGTGAATGCTGTGACGTTGCTGGGGTGACCAGACCAGGTGGCGGGTACATCAGTCCTAGACCTTGATGAGGATGATAGCCTGTCGTTAGAGTTACCGTAGCGTTGATCTTCCTCGCTGGGAAATCTCTTTCGGATAATGTCGGCGATGCAGCGCTGGCTTTGAAGTAGCTCAACGCTGAGTTACTCCTGGACTCGGTGTCCTGACCGTCGCCGCCGTCCACGGAGGATGCACCACTGTCGCTGGGTGTGTCCGCTGCCCTTTTGTACGTCGGCAGGAACGGTCTGAAAACGTCTGGCGGGCTGCACGGCACGCAGACGTCCTTTTGAGCAAAGTTCATAGGGAATATAGGCGATGCTGGGTGTTGCTGTTCCTGTTTATAGAACGGCGGGGGTGTTGTGTCCCTGGGTGGTGTGCCAGGCCGTTGTTGAGGGTTACCGCCGATCCTCTCGCGTTCCTTCTGCCAGGCCAGCAAGCGCAACTGGTTCTGAAGGGCCACATCGTCGGGGTGCGGTGACTTGTTGCCCCTTTCGTGTTCTTGCTTCAGCATCGCCACGTGTAGGAGGTGCGATTGGAGGGCTAGGTCCTCCTGACTAGGTGAAGCACGATCCTTTCCGTCCTTGTACACGCCGCCAGGCTGCTGTCCTTGGGGCTGGGGCAGAAATCCTGGCAGGAAACCAGGTCCAAATGGCGAACCAGCGCCCGGCGCCACGCCCATATTCTGACTCCCGTTGGTCTGTTCTTGCAGGAGACAGTGGATCTTGAACCAATTCGATCGACGACCGTATCGCGACCCAGACTTCGACATCCCGACCATCAGACATTTGCGTAGCCGACACGCTTTGCAGGCGGTCCGGTTCTTCTTGTTGATCACGCAGACGCCGCCGTTTTTGCACTCGGATATGCTGCCCAGGTTGTTGTAGGTGCGCCCGAAGAAGGACTGTAATCAGAAGAAAAATGATCGGTGAGTTACCAGCAGTTAACGATCGAGACTAAAATTGTATGTTCTTAAGTTGTTAATAATATTATCTATCGATCCATCGCATTGAAAGGGCGGTAGTATTTTATCGAATAGAAGTATAATATTTTAAAGTTTCATAAACTTGTGCTAATTTTCGTTTCACTTCTCCATGGGTGGCATTTATCTCCTATCGACAAAATAACGATTATTTATGGAGTATTAAGTTTACAGCGGACTTTTTTTCATTGCTCGGGTATATTTGGAGAAAATTCTATTGCCCCGATCGTACGAACCGTGATTTATTTCCTTGCCAGTCAAGTTTTTCACAGCTTGTTTCTTATCATTCGACGAACAGCGAATGTTTTCTTCTGCTTGCGTCTAATGGACTAACCGAGCGCGCATCTGCGAGGCTGGCTTCCGTTTATGACGTTCAGCCGTGGTGTGCGTTCATTAATGCTCGGCTGGTACCGTGTAATGAGACTTCTGCTCCGACATTATAATATCCTCTACGCTTTAATTAATTACCGGGTCCTTAAAGCTTACATTTGAAATACTATGCATCCTATCACAAACACACGACTATTTTCTTTACGTTCGATACTTAAATCACTCAGCCCATAATCGTTCACCTAGATTTCATTTCCATCCAGATCACTGAAAGTCGTTCGATGCTGAAAAATGCTACCATATCTTCCCGTGAGATCATAAAACGGATTCGTTCACCCTCGATTCGCAAATCGGTTTCCTAAACGGTAAAAATCCACTCGAGAAAACCGACTGGTTCGATGATAATAAATTTCCTCCCGAGGTGAACAGCGTCGCGAGAGTTATTGCAACAAATTTTTGCCACGGTTTCCACGAAAGGCAAAGTCATCCCGGTAACTTCCTTACGGGGACAGCGCGTTCGAAACAAATAGCGTATCGCCAGTGATGTTCAGGATCCTCTCTCGTTCTTTTCGTTACGTGGATTCTACTCTGCCAGATGTATATCTAGGACGAAGGGTCGTCCACGCCATATAAAGGGCCCCGACCGACGCGGCGGATCCGCGTTTCTCTAGCGGATTAAACGTCAGAGGTTAATGTTACGCACGTCACGGGAATTAGCATGCCTAGAAGTGGAGGGAACAGTCGACGGGGGTGGCCGAGGGTGGTGCACGAGATTGAGCGCACAGCCGCTCGTAAAGTTAAACTCACGCCTGTCGGCCGACCAATAAAACCGCCTCGAAACCGGCGGACATCGCAGCTCTAATTTACGACAGAGATTCCTCTGTGTCTTGGGAACCACTTTGAGATTTCGAGGATTCTTGAATCGGTGAACGATTCTCCGTTTTTTCGATCGGCGTTTTATATTATAATAAATAACGTAGAGTACGTTTAATGGCTTCTTTATATTATACTGTTAACTTGTTTCCAGGTATAATATAGACAGTCAACTGTTTAGTAATTAACTTGGTTATTCTTGGGTCGTAAATAATAACACAGTCATAATTCAGAGTGTAGGAGGTGCACCAATGAATATGATGTTAGAACACGTTGACTGCCACTTGATCAACGGCGTCATTAAATTACAGGATGACATATTGAATTTCTAGAGGAACATTTAACCCTCAACCGTCCCTTGTGTCAAGTGGACACATCTTTTTCCTAGGAAATTATGTTATTCTGTCATGTGTAAGTAAATTTAACTGAAGCTCCGGAAGTTTTGTTTTGAAAAAATTTGCATGTTTAACTATTTATCCCTTCATTATATTAATGTTTTACCACTGTGTCAGTTTGACACCGATGTTTTCTGAATATAATTAGTAGTACAGTAATAATGACAGTCAAGTAAATGCATAAATACTTATACTATCCAAAAAATAAAAAACTGTGGTATTCAATGTATTAACATTCCATTAACATCTCCACATAACGGATGAAATATTACAGTATCGATACATTTACGATTCAAATACTCCAGATATCCCTAGAAAAACGTCGAAATACCGATACGCTCCGAGACGAATAGAATCAAACGAATGCCAGCGCGGATAATCTCAAGCGTGTACCGCTTCGAATGCATAAACGTGTTCCACGGTCGCAGAAACAAACCCACATGGACCTGACTCAGCCACGTCCATATTTCACCGGTCTACCGGAAACGCTCGGATTCTGGGTTTCACCTGACGCATACCCACGTGGGCGGCCCGCTAACGGTCTGAGACGCCGAAAGCTCGTGGTTAGCGGTACTCGACCAAAATGGGACCGAGGAATCATCCAGCTGATGGTGATGTCCACGCGATCGATCCGTGACCGACATTTCGGCCTTCGAGACGTATGCCCAGTGGATTGATCCGACCTCGTGTCATCGCGTTGCTATGAGTCAGCTTCGTGGCGAACGCGATTGTCGTGAGAAAACTGGTTGGTCCCCTCGCAATAAGAATCACTGAATCGTCAAGGATACCTTGGTGTATTAACTGTGTAATAAGGATTGGTTTATTAACCGGGAAATCAGCGTAAACGTGGAATCGAATGATTCGAAGCGTCAGGTAGGGTGCATCGGTGATTAATCGAATGTTAACGGCGCGATCTGGGAACAACGCCGGACGGTTGACAAACTGGTAATGATCGCGAGATGGGAGCAGTAGGAATGAGGGGGACCAGCGGTACTACGCAATCTACCGGCAACGATCTTAGATCGCGATGTTGGGACGCGTTGGAAACGGCTCCCGTACGCCAGATGATCCTTGGCTGTCACCGCGACTGTGTGAAAGGGGTCACGGTGCCGCGTGGTGTTTGCGCGCACGCGAAAACCAGCGCACGGCCGACGGTATCCGATCGCTTCCGCCTACGAAAATGCTCATTGTCCGCGGATGGAATATGATCTAGTGTATACACGCGTTGTGTCGGCCTTTGTATACCGTATTCCCGTGTGGACTCGGAACGAGAGACTTTCGCGGGATACGGGAATATTATATATCGAGGGGGAGGAGGAAGATGGGGGAACGCAGAGGCGGACAGCGTGAGTCCGAGAGACCGTCCCGTTAGAAAGCGTTTACTTCGCGATCGGAATCACCGCGAGATGGTTTAAATCCTACCCGATACACTTGAATTCTGGTTTTATGGAGAAACTACAGGCACGGCGCGATTCGTGAGCGAGCCGGATAGATTGATTATTTTGATTAATGCCTCGATCCTGAGACCCCTATAGCCAACGGTATAGCGGAAAACCGGAAATTTTATGTTTCGGGCTTGTTTGAACTCTGACCTTGAATTTCACTTGAACGCATTCTACAGTTAGAGCTCAACACTAGGTGTAATTGCGATAGAAGGATGTATGCAACTGAGATTTGTCCGGACGTCACTGGAGAGATTTCTGGGCAGGGTAATGTATCGTTGATGGAGGACTTTGACGCATGGGAAACGGTATAGTCAAGTGATTTCAATGCGTGCGATGTGCTGTAACCTCAATGCTTACTGTCGGACACAGAATATCGAAATATTCTTAGAAATGTGTTGGTGATTGTGAAAATGGTGTAAGTTAAAAAGGAAAAAATTCAGCTTTTTTTCACATAGATTATATTTGAATATTGGGGCAAGGATGACGAATTTTGATCATCGCGTAGGTTCAACCATTACTGTAGCGTTTGCATTACCTAACTTAGCACTAGAACTACCAAAGCAGTCAAAATGACTGGTTAGTAGAATATTCTAACGATGATTAAAATGTTATCACAATACACTTTCTCAGATCTTTCAGTAGTTCCATTATAATATGAAAATGAAGAAATTGATTAATTAAAGAATTTGAATATATTTAAAAGGTTCTCATGATTACAGATCTGACGGACATAAATATACATTCATCATCGGTAGTTTTAGCGTTAGTATACAAGCATGACATATTCTACAAATGACAAGTTACAGTAGAGTTTCAACCTAGGGGATGATCCAAATTTGGCAACCTTCCTCTGTGGAAGAACATTCAAAACGAAAAATACACGACTTACACCACTTTCATAATAATAAATAACATCTCTATTATAATTAATTTTTTCTATCATACGCAACACTCAGTTAACGCCACTGTTTCCAAATTCATCCGAAAAATATCGATTTTTCAAATGAAACGCCGACGTCGGAGCGGAAAGCAAGCGTGTTTACAATCGCGATTGCGTCGCTGGAGTCGGTCAGCTGTGCGTATCTTGACCGTAGACAGAAAACAAGGTGGACAACGGGATTCGCGTTGATTGCGTAAGAGGCGTGCGAGCGCGCGTGTTCCGCCGCGGTCGTTTCAAGTTTTCCTTTTTTTGCCGGTCCTCCGTGGTCCGCTCGCGGAATCACGTAGCGGCGGCGTGCAACGTTCGCGAATCAAACGTCCGAGAAAATTCCGGTACGGCTGAAATGCGTTGCCATTTAGGGGGACGACTGCGACAAATCCGTCATGGACAGACCGGAGATTATCACGAATCCAGAGCCGGCATGCCCGGAATCCCGAACCGATTTGTAACGCCATATAAAACCGCGACACACGGGGAAATCGCGCGTTGTCCGTGATCGTGAACGGCAAACCCGCCGCTGGGAAAGTTTGACAAATTGTCGACGGGATCCGGCAAGAACAACCATCGTGCCGTATATACCGTGTGTCGCCAAAAAAAAAAAACGGTCTCGTGAAAATTCATAGGTGTACTTTTACTGTCGATTTTTTAGGTTCTTTATGCTCGGAACTCTTCTCTACTTTGTCGATCGGTACGGATTTCAAATCCACCGTCTTGAATACTGTTGCAAATAACCCGACTGCATACTTTGTTCGACCGTTACGATCTTCCTTTCTTGCGGTACACTACTTTTCCTTCCATCGAAGTCAATGTGAAAGTTCAAAGAACAAATTCGAAAGTACAGTAGGACACCTTGAGATACTTTCCGTGTTACACGCAAAATGTTAAAACTAAATGAAAAAGATTTTCCTATTATAACGAAAAAAGAACGTTAAGTTATTA